ACAAAAATACAAGACCCATGCACTCACTGCTTACAATGGTACAACTTTTAAATGCTATTGCGTTCCTTGTCTATAGATGGCATACATTGCTTTGCTAGCCTTAAACTGCTGGCGCCCTGCAAATTAAAGGTAATTGCTGAGCCTAGCTTTTGGTGCTCGGAATCAATGACTATGGTCTTGTTTGTCAAGCTATACCACCTGTGTTTGTTGTCATTCCACAACTTTACATGGAAAACTTTTATTAATTTGGTTAAAATCTTTTCCAATGTACTGTTTGATGCAATTAGGGATGCATGATAATGGGAAGTTTATATTTATTATGAATTATAGGGATCATTACATTACAGCAGATAAATTATTGGTGTATAATAATAATAAACATGAAGTTTATAAAGAGTCAGAACGCTTTATTGTTGTTGTGTTAGATTTCGTTAGAACAGAGCAAAAATGTGAAATTATCAGTTATCTTATCGGTATCAACCACAAGGAGCAGGTAATTAACATTTCCACAAACTTCTGTTTATGAAATTCTGTTGACTCCATTAATATCGTCTTCATGTATTATGTGTTTGTCTCTGTAGAAAGTACGACCAGGCTCTGGAGTACCACCGTCAGGCACTGGTGTTAATCCCTCAGCACGCCTCCACCTACGCTGCCATAGGATACGTGCACAGCCTCATGGGCGACTTTGAGAGTGCTATTGACTACTTTCATACGGTATAGTGCATTTTCCCCAGTCTGTATGGATTTTGTTACTCGCTTAAAAACCATGGGGATTTAGAACAATACATAGGAGGATTGATGGCCTCCTGAATAGTTACTATGGAAATAATACTATTACATTTTTTTTTGTACAGCTAGCTGTCATTTACAAAATAAAACAAATATAAGAGAAGCTATAAGACAAAATCAATAAATACTAATAAATGCATGGAAGCACCTCTAGCTGTACAAAGTAGAAATGAAAATAAAGAGATATAGAATACAAAATATATTGTATAGTAAATTACCAGAATACACAGTTATGTTTTGGTTTTCAATAGTCAGAAGAAACACAAGGGGTCACACTAAAGTCTGTAGCATCACCTGTGATTGGTTTTTGTCAGCATATGTTTTTGTAACAAATGCTTGAAGTTGGTTTTCTTTCTTTCTGTGCAGGCACTTGGATTGAAAAGGGACGACACTTTCTCTGTGACGATGCTTGGCCACTGTATTGAGATGTACATCGGTGACACGGATGCCTATATAGGTAGGATACAGCTATACTGCCGTTTCAGAGGAGTTGGTTTCATCTTTGATGGCTGGCTTGAAACATTTGATTATTTGATTGTTACAAAGTCAGCTCTCAGAGTGACTATTCAACTGGTTACTGTTCACATGTTTACCATGAATAAAATGTTGTAAAATAGTGTATGTATGTAATGTATAAAAATAGTTGAAACTGTGTTCAAACAGCGGCTAAATATTTGCAAATAAGAAGACACACTTTAGACATGGAGTATCTGACAGGCTGGTAAACTGACTGTTTTTTACAAGGAAATTTAGTTCCTTAATTATTTATATTGTATAATGGTTTATTCTCCTCGTACAAAAGAGCTCAAACATGTTATTGCATTACACTGAACCAAACAAAATCACTGCTTCGTGTTCACTTGCAAGACCTTAGTTGAGTAGGCGGTCCTTCAGTATGGCCAAGGACACATTTGCGTACACACTGCTAAAAGAATGTGGCCATATGTGACCACCCCCGAATGTCATCTTAGCAATCAGATCTCAATGCGTTATGGGCGCATTCACACCCGCACTAAGAGCTGTCCACTTGTGATCAAATCACCCAAGACCAATGTTAATGCCAGGTGTAAACAGGGCAATTGTCCGTTTTTTCTTTGCTGTGAGAACCCCAAACTAAATTTAGAAGTGGCAACTTCTCTCTGGCAGATATCTCAAACTCTCTGCTGAGAAATCCCAAACCATCTGTGGGGCCAGATACCACAACAGACAAATTCGATTTATTTTTTATTTTTAAATTGGGTCAGCCAAAGTTTTTCTGACAAGTATTCAAATATCTGTTCTGAGACACTGAGACAAATAATGAGTGGTCCTTTGTTTCCACTCAGGCACAGACATCAATGACAAGGTGCGAAGCAGCTTGAATACTCCAGCGCTGATGAAGATGCTGAACACATCGGAGTCTGGCGACGTTCTGGCCACGCCAAGATTGGAAGACACCAGCATCACGTCCTTGGAAACGCCACTGTCTAATCAGGACAAGATGATGCTGGAGACGCCTCTGCGCCTCTCTTTAACCCTGGAGTGCGATATGTATGAGAGCGATATGATGTTAGACACCTTGTCAGACACCAGCACGTGATCTCAGCCTGTCAGGAGGTGGAACTGTTGTAGCAACAGGTTGTCATAGGTACACATATCCAAGCCCAAGGACAACTATCAAACCAAAACTTGGCACCTGTCCTCCACCAAAGGTTTCCTGTGGATTCTCCCTCTTGTGCATTAAATATGGTTGATTCTGTAACTGACATAACGTAGAACATGCCCTTATGAACAGGAGTAAAAGTGTGAATTTGTATACAGCACCTGCTGTACTGTACATCATATTAACTTTGCAAGAATGCACTTTAAAAGGGGAATTAACATGTGCCTTGGTTAAGGGGTTGAGTACTTGGTTTAGCATTGGACCTTGGGTTAAGCTGAAGACACTGGGAACATGTGGTCCTCTGACACTTGATTGAACAGAGCGAACACAGCCGCACACCTCATGTCAGATCTAAAAGACTATAGTCATTTATTACTGCCTATGGCAGGACCCTCCGTGTTGCTTAACCTGTGGATTTACACGTTGAATAAAGAGCAAGCAAGATACATGCAGTTTTGGTGAAAACAATTCTTGGCAATTCCTACAATAAACCATGCATTTATCTTAAAAGATTTTTGCATATCTGTGCTTTGTGTTAATCAGAATAAAGTGTTTGATTTGTAAAACCCACAAAACACATGGCAATAGGGCTGGGTAATTTTTAAAATCCTTATTTTTCTATCTCTGCTATTTTCTACTTACTGTTCTACTGACAGAATGTTGACAAACCCCTCCTTGAGATACTGTTGTGTATACTTCTGAGTTACTTTTAATTTATACCTGTTGCAGCATGAAGTCTTGGATACTTATCGACAGGTTTAGTAAACCACTTAATGTTTGAATTATTGGTTTAAACAAATTACAGTGTGATTTTTTTAATACTCAAGTAATTTTTATTATAGTATTGCTGTGAATCCGTATGAATCACTGATATTTGCCCAGTTAGAACACAGTTATTAATACCGGTAGCTGTAGAATTAAACCAAATATCCCTTGTAAAATAGCTAATATAGCAAAGATTTTGAGGGGTGGTTAAATGCAACATACATGTATCTTATAATTTGTATTGTTTGTTATTGTTACAAGTATTGAACCCTGACTATGTACAAGCAGTGAATCAATTGCAGATTAGAGTTTGTGTGCAGCAGAGTTTCACTAAATCTCAACCCCTCCTGAGAAAGCATGCCAAGTGCCGCTCAGACCATCCCCTCAAATGTCATGTTCCGGTTCAGGGGAGGAGTGAGGTCTCCGAACCTCGAATGAAAGCACACAACCCCTCTCCATCCCTTCTCTGACATCAACAGGTCAGATACAGTATTTGTCCGTCTACCTCCGGAACCTTTCCCCCAATGGAGAGCGGCTTTAGTAGCGTCGGGAGAGATGGGCTGTACTCCGTCTAAGTCGGCCGTCATTTACAGCCAGGACACGGTGTGCCGGGACCTGGACACCTGCTCCACTTTTGTTCCCAGCCTGAAGAGCTCGGTGTCCACACCGGAGAAGCCTCGGCTGTGTGTGGAGACCAGCAATGGCAGGAAAACTTTCCTTAGTGGTGAGTTTACGGTCGGCTCAGAACATCAGTTGCCTGTGTCTGATACATGTGAAGAAGTTGTCTACCAGGCCTTTTAAGCAGTTTAGGGATCCAGCTTGAAAAATTACTTTCAAATATATGTGTAGAGATTTCCTGTCTCATGTGTGCTCATTAAAAAAAAAACCCTAATTTTGTGGACCTTTTGTGTTTTTCCTCAGTTCCCTGCCGAGATGTCCACGGGCGGTCTGTGAGCCAGTCCTCCTGCCCGGACACCTGGAGCTCCGCCGGCAGCTCCTCCTGTCCGGATAGGTTCAGCATGAAGCCCCGCAGCCAGACTCCGGACCTGCACAGTGACAGTGAGGGCTGCAGCGGGACTGCTTAAAGGGACTGCAGCCTGCAGCTGAGCAGTGGCACTGGGACATGAACTGACAAACACAACAAGTGGACTCTTTATTTCCACACCACGTGTTACTTTGGTGCAACAGTTTCTCAGCATATTGCTTGTATGGATCTTTGGTTGTTATTTTTATAATGATGGTTGTTGTTATGATATTTAAAAACCAGACGCACGACTATAATAACGTTGTGTACTACATTTTGCCCAAGCAGCCTTTTGTACTTATACATATAATTTTGGGGTACTTTTACTTTTATGCTACTTTATAATTCCACTCTGCTACAGATATTGTATTTTTCACTTGCTACTAAATGCTATATTTATTTGATAATTAACAAATAAAATTTGATGTATTATTACAGATTATAATAAGACTTTATTGCTTTATTCACAAGATATATAATCCAATCTCTTTTACATAATCTCGCAAGGCAAGGCTGAAAAAACAAACCAAAATCAGACTATCATCCCTTCAGCGAAAAAAATATTTTTTAATTACAATTACCAAAAAAAAGCAAGCAATCCAAAACAATAAGGGCACTAACACATAACTAGTCTCAAAATACTCCCAACATGTGCAGCAAGAAGAAAGAGAGACAGCAACAGTCAACTCATTTTATTATCTTTGTTTCACACCAGTGGCAGAGGAGCGCGGTATCAAAGCCGTCCTCGTAAACCTCTCTCTGCTCGCGATACTTCCATACTCTCGCGAGCGCACGGTGGCTTAACACGGGCGAGAGGGAGATGGAGAGAAATGAGGTCTGAAAAGGACCAAATGACCGTGGTCAAGGAGAAAAGCGTCGTCGAGATACAGTTTAGAGACATCCCGAGAGAGCAAGAGAACACCCCTGGCAACCCGAAACAGAAAGAGGAGAAGAAAGAGGTGTTTACCAAGGTAGGCAGCTGAGCGTCCGCGGTGTGTCGCATTGTTTACGCTGTGTGGGAAGCAGACATGGAGGAGGGCATGGAGGGATGGGATCGTTTCAGCACCGCGGACAGCGACCGGAGGAGGAAGATTCACGACGATGCCGCGGCTTCAACAACCTGTCGGCTACACCTCAAACCTTATATCAGCTTAGACTTCACATCCCCTCTGGTTTTATTTGATGTAGTGTTTTATATTGTTTGTAAATGACGTTGACGTTTACTGCTAGTGCTGGAAGACATGTAGTAAACACTGACTAGGTCCTCACACTGTGTCCAGTCCAGATTATTGTATTATCTGTGGCTTAAAACACGCTCTCTCAACATTTTACTCGCTGTAATCTAGGTTTTAGGCTACCAAATCCTAATTTCCCCCAGTAGTGAAAGAGTTGCCAAGGTGAACCTGAGTAATGCTGCAATTAACAGTATTTATTACACTATAAAATGTCAAAAATATTGACAAATGTCTATCTGCAGGTGCCGAAGTGATGCATTTAACACATTTAATCTAGTTTATGTTACATTTTTGTATTCTGTTTAAGGTCTTAACATACAATTAAAATGTCCCCTCCAGACATAGATACAAATAGTCAGCCTAGAACAGTAATGTGTCAGATATGTTTTTTCCTAGTATAATTTTTGTATCAAATCCATAAAAAGGCTCCTACTCCTTGTTTAAAAAAAAGCTGAATATATAAATATGAAAGTTTTCCTGCTGGAAACAAAAAGAAAAGCATATTTTTGAGTGGAGGAGGACTTTAATTATCACTTTGTTCAGTATCATGTCTGTGTACTCTATGTTTCTATTTTTGTCTGTACTACTCCATCAAATCAGAATATGTGTTTTATGCATCAGTTTGCACACCTTTCCCCAGAATACCCGGAAACTTTGAGATCTCCACTATAATTTAAAAAATAAAATCTTAGGGTTTCATTTGTTAAAGGGGCACTCAAGCCGTTGACTATTGCACGTCTATAAAAGTAAAGCGTGTGAAGCTCAAAAAAAAGCTGAACCCTACACTTTCCATAATGCAACTCAGTGGTGTATTTCATCAAACCCTTCTTGCCTGATAAACACTGTCACTCTTTTCTGAGGGTACTATTTGTACATCAGGTGACCCCCACTTTCTGGGGATTTTCCATGATGTAATATTAGTAGTAGTAAAAAGTTCCTGTTAGATCTGGAAACAGCAACTTCTCAAGAATAGATGTTAAAACCTTTTTGCAGAAATTACCTGCACTACCAACACGATTCTTCCTGCTCAACTGAAAAAATAATATGTATAGTATATATCAGTAACATATAAATTATTGATTACAGGTGGTGCTTCGAAGGCTTCCACCAAACCTGTCAAAGGAGCAGCTAGAGGAACAGCTCAGTCCACTTCCATCCTACGACTACTTTGAGTTCTTTCCAGCTGATCAAAGGTAATAATGATAACTGTTTTAACTGTTTAAATGTTTTTAGCAAATCTTGTTGCTTTTTTCCATACATGAGAAAGTTTATGACTTCTCCCTCTTTCTCTCTTTCCACAGTCTTTACCCCCACCTGTTCTCCAGGGCATATATCAATTTTAAAAACCCTGAAGATATCCTGCTGTTTAGGGACCGATTTGATGGTTATGTCTTCATTGACAACAAGGGTATTTCTTGATTTTGTTTAAACTCAGTTTGGCTTTGTTGCCAGTATGTTGGCGATGAACGTGGGCACACAGTGCAATCTATTCTGCTATATTAAATCCAAACAAAAGCATGTTTGTTTAACAGCTACAGGCGGAATTTTATGGACAGAGAAGTGGCTTTGAGAGTCTGTTGCTATTGTTACTATCTGATAGCTGGTCTGTTAAATGATGAGCTGCTTTTTATTTCAATATTTACTCAGGCCAGGAGTATCCTGCAGTGGTAGAGTTTGCCCCCTTCCAGAAAATTTCCAAGAAGAAGCTAAAAAAGAAAGATGCCAAAGCTGGGAGCATTGAAGAAGGTAGTGAAATATAAAGCTTGAGCAATTTAGCTTGTAAATCTATTGTTCATGGATTTAAGATGCGCACAAATTCAATATTTGGTATGTTCCATGATCAAACATATTCATCTGGGCCTGCACTCTCTCAGACCCAGAATACAAGCGGTTCTTGGAGAATTACTCCTGTGATGAGGAGAAGTCCATGGCCAACCCAGAGACCCTGCTGGGAGAGATAGAAGCCAAGACCAGAGAGCTCATAGGTACAGTACCGCAGCCTCAGATGATTATTCCCTTGTGAACTAATTATAATTAGTCAGTCTGTTTACTTATCTCCCTTTTATTTTGGTTTCAGCCAAACGGACAACACCACTGTTGGAGTACATCAAAAATAAGAAGATTGAGAAACAGGTAAGAAAGAAAAAATCCACACAGTGCTTTAACAATGTGAAGAATCTTTTCATATATGCAACATGTTTCTTTACAGAGAATAAGAGAGGAGAAGAGAGAGGAGAGGAGAAGGAGGGAGCTTGAAAAGAAACGGCAGAGGGAGGAGGAAAAGAGGAAGCGACGAGAAGAAGAGAGACGCAAACGAAAAGAGGCAGAGAAGCAGAAGAAACTGTCTGACAAAGACATCAAAATTAAGGTAGTCCTTCATCCATTGAAAGCAGTTTCACAGGAACCGGTTTACTCTTGTTCTTTAGAAGGCATTGTAGCCTGTAATTACAGATTACTGTTGCAACTTACATGATCTGCAATGCCGTAGCTCCTGAAGAAGAGTGACAGGGACGATGACGTGGATTCAGACCGAATGAAGGATAAAAGCGACATCGGGGAGGCAGACCGAGGCAAATGGGAGAAAATTGGAGGACAAATGAAGTCAAAGGACTCCAAAGAAAAGTAAGGATTGTGAAATCCTGTCCTGTACTGTAGATGGGCATCTTTCTGTTACAAGGCGGATGGTGTGAAATGGCCGCTAATACAAATATGGCACCCACAATAATTAACTGAGGAGATCATCAACCCCTACAGGTTTCAGTGTTCGTAAGCAACTTCATTCTAGAAGGTCAGAGGTCAGGCAGTCAGTGGGAGGGGTCTGTCCTGATTAATTAAAGAGCTAGTTTAAACAACAGTGACAGTGACATTTGCCGAGAACAAATACCAGCCAACAGGGATCAATGCAAAGATTAATTTTTTTTTATTTTAATGGATCATTGCTGATCAAAGGCACAATTCCTGATCCAAATGAAAAAAAGGGTGGGACCATCTACACTTAAATTAAAAACACAGCAGGGTTGGAGTCTGCTATCACTCATTAAAAAAAGTCAAATCTCTTATTAAATGTGCTAAGTTGTGTTTTTAATGTTGTTTAAATCTTGTTTTGTAAACACATAGACAAAACTGTCCAATATGTTAAATGATGATCTGCTGTGAAACATACATATTACTTGTCACCTACTATCTGTGCTATCTCCACTCTGACTACCAGAGGTCAGCCTGAGAGTGACAAGGAGCAGCGAGAGCAGCACGGTCGCAGACAGAGAGATAAGGATCACCGTGGGAAAGATGAAGAGAGGAAACGACAGCGACACCACTATGAGTTTGACAAGTTTATGCGCCGCAAAGATGAAACCAAATGGGGGAAGGGCTACTGCCAGGACCGAGCCAAAAAAGAAGGGCACCATCATGGCTATTCTTACTGTCCAGACAGTGGAGACAAACTGGGAAAGGAGGACAGGGAGGACCTGGGTAACAGGAAAGAACGCCTCCGAAACAAGGTGAGCGAGAAGGTGAGCATGAGATGGGGGGAAAAGGTGACTAATTGCTTTGTTTTTCATGATGTAGTGTTGTGTTTCAGATGTTTGTTACAGATCATTTATTACTTTCAGTCTATTTGTACAGCACTAATATACTTCTCATACAGTGATAGCACCATTGATGACTAAAACATAACTTATTGAAGAATTTGTTTTTTTAGTTATCTTCTCACAATAATAAGACAGATTTAGATGAATTGTTGTACTTCCATAATGTCAGTTCTCACGACAAACATGCAGCTGCTTCCTGGCCTCCCACACGTTAACGATCCTAATCACACGCTGCAAATAAATTATTACAAATCTGTAAGCAGGTTTACTTGTTACAGTCAGCTTTGTCTAGTAAGCTTGTTCCTTAAACAAGAGAAAAGGTTTCCCATTTACATAACATTTAATTACACTACAAAGGGGCACAGGGTTTGATTCTTGGCTTCAGTCTTTGTGTGTGCAGTTCTACCCGTGTTTATACAAGCTTCCTCCGGGTTCTGTGATTCCTCCCACAGAACATAAACATGCAAATCGGGCACATGTGAGACCCTAAATTACTCATAAGTATACAGACATGTCTGCGTATCCGTGTTTGGCCTGTGATCAAAAAACTACCATGATGCTAGTGTGGTGATGGCTTTCAGAACATCTAGTGTGGGATTCACATTTAACCACAGGGATCCAAAAGCTGTTCCAGCAATTTATTAGTGGTAATCATTCAGGGATGGATGGATAAATAGATGATTTCTCTATGTGATAACTCTGATAACTAAATAATGGGCTGCTGAGCTGTTAACGTATAAATAGTTGTGGTACAGGCCTAGTTTGGACTGAACTGAATGTTTTGGTCTAGAAACACACTTTGCGTATTATTAAACTGAAGATAGTCGGGAATCAGTGCTGAACATTGCAGCTACCCAAACAGCGGTGTGTTCACTTACTGTCGTATGATGATGAAGTAAACTGATGATGTAGGGTTTAGTGGCATCTAGTGGTAAAGTTTCAGATTGCAGAGGTATGTATCTGTGTTTGACGACCTGGGAATGAGAACGGGCTGTGTAGGAGAAACTATGGTGGCTGCAAAATGCAAAAGGCCCTGTCTACAGCCAGTGTTTGGTTTGTCCGTTCTGGGCTGATGTAAAAACGTGGCGGTTCAACATGGCGGAGACCATGGAAGGCGACTTGGCATCTGTAGATAAAAACATCTCATTCTAAGGTACAAAATCAGAAAAACTCTTATATTCAGGTGATTATACAGTAATACATACCTCTGAATACCATATTCCTTTTCTGACAATAGATCCTCCTAAATGTAACACACCTCACATTTAACTTACTGATGTACATACTGAAGTTCATTTGAATGGTTATCTGATCACTTAGCTTAAGAAAAAAATGTAACCAACTTCATAGTGATTTCAACTTCTGTAATGAATGCATCCATAACCCTAGCATTCTGGTGCTTCTTTAGGCCTTAGTCAGCACTGGAATATAAATGACATACAAAAATATCCATTAAACACTCCACACAAGTCCATGAAATATAAACCAAACAGAATAAGACTATGTTATAGTTTGGAGAGAAGGCTGATGGTCTGAAAAGGACCAAGTTTTTTTTTTTATAGCTTCTTGGGAGCGTCTCAGAGATCCTGTGGAAATCTAAGCAGGGAGTTGGTTGTGATTACAGGCCACCAGGATTTCTCTGCCCCTGCTTGCCCATTGCATGTTGGGATACACTTGAGCCCTGCGTGACTCGTAAAAAGAATAAGCAGGACAAAGAAAATATATATTTTGATATTTATATTCAAATTGTGTGCTGCTTGTCTCTCCCATGTACCTGCTTTCTTGTCTCACTGCAGGACCGTCCAGCCATGCAGCTCTATCAGCCTGGCGCACGAAACAGGAAGCGCATGAGCTCCGCAGGGAAAGGCTATGACTGCATCCCAGTGGGCCACTCACCTGAACCCAGCACGGAGCATTGTTATGATGCCGTCACTCTGGCAACAGGGCTGGAGAAGGGGTTTGAGAAAAGCAAAGATGAACAGTGAGCAGCCTGGATGTTTAGAGAAAATAGGTTGAGCGTGGTTTGACTGGTTATTATTGAGCTCTTAAAAATGATAACCTCCACTGAGAGAAAAAGGCACTTCAAAAGCAAAGTCTTTTAGTAGTTTTCATCTGCATTAAGTGTAATAAAATTCAGAGGGTTTTTGTTTTGCTGGAGCATGAACATTTTTAGTGCACACTAAATATTTTGACTGTCTCATTGTTTAGTATTCAAAGAATGATCGTCAATTATCATAGCATTAGGTGGAATGCTTGGAATACACCATGTGAAAAATACTGAGAGCAGGGGCAAACAATAGTAGTTACCTTCATGATAGCACAACAATTAACTTGATTTCTCACAGTTATTTGGTGTATCACATGCACTTTTTTGTTATTTCAGTTGAACTTGCTGAAAATTGCCTCTTGCCAGCTAGATTTCAGTTTCATCAAAGCTTTTTTATATGAGGAAGTCCAATGTCATTCCTTTTGGTCATCATGTTGTTGAAGTGTGTCCCTGTAAGAGGCAGCTCACGTTTGGTATAATAATTATATGGTGAAACCATGACCTCATCCTCATCTTGTTACTAAGCCTTTGTAGACCCAGCTGAACCTGGATGTTTTTAATAAACCTATAGATTTTATTAAAATGAAATATAATGTAAGTAGAACTTACAAATAATAGATGTGGAAAATTTAACAGAGGAAATCCTGTGTGTATTTTTCTGTGTAAAGGTGAGCGAATGAGAAGGGATAAGAATTATTGTTGATAAAGAGGGCAATGTTGACACGTTTTACTGCTTTTTCCCTAGTTTGTATGTGTCTTATTACATGTGGTCCATCTTATTCTAAGCTGTCATACAACAGAGACAAGATTTTTTGTTGTGAGCAAAGCTTTGTACACGATCACCCATGAGCCAAGAAGAACACATTCTCTACATTTCTATTAAGCTTTTCCTAGACGTAAAATGTAACGTTACAAAGTTTGACACACATATATGAAAACAATACATTTTCTATGCTGTGTGCATGGTTTTTTATTGATTCTGTCATCTAAATGTAATTGAAAAGACACAAATATTGATAAAGAAATATAGTCTCTTTAACAGGCCTTATATTATTTTTGCACTTGACCTAACATTTGTCTATCATACCTCTTGTATCATTTGGGGTTTTTCTTTTCTTTTAGTTGTGAGAAAATAAAGGTCTTTACCGTTAAAAGAGACTAAACTGTGTAAGTCATTGTGGTGATTGTCTGACAGTTTGGGTGAGGCAGCGTGTGTCTGCAGCACTGTCCATAGTAGACATTTACAAATGGCAGATATGAGTCAGTTACAGTTAGCTATGTATGAATGAATACCCAGTGATATCTTACATTAGTGGGTGTAGACATGCCTAGCTGTTTCATTAGTGACACTGAGGGTAGATGATTGAAAAAGCTCAAATAAAGCCCAGCCCTTTTTTTTTTAACTCTCTGAATGTTAGCTGAGAGCGCAGTGATACCTAAAGGCAGAAGGTCTGTTGTAATTTATGTTTTTACTTGTGGATTACAATTTATTTTCCTCAATGTTCTCTGTTGAAAAGATAAGAATAATCTCACAGACAGTGTCTATCACACTGTTACCCAGATAAAGCAGAACTGTCATAATCAACAGGAAGCTCGCAGCATAAGAACATGTCCTGTGAATCTTGTGAGCGATGAGTTTAAATCTGGTGCTCTCACTTCACTTAAAAACACTTTCATACAGCACATGCTTGTGTGTATGTATGTGTTGTAAATAGTGGGGAACTTGCTGATGCGTCAAACCCTTCTCATAAGAATTATGTAATAGATCCTCTCAACCCACATATATGGATTTTTTTTGTTTTCTGCATTTGCATACACATCACAGGTATTTGTACTCTCTTCTGTTTTACAGCAGTGGTAATGAATAAAAGTGAAAGTTACACCCTTTGACATGTCATGAAACACTTTTCCCCTCAGGTTTCCTGAGCTCTAATAGTGTTCAGTCATCCCACGAGTAAAGGCGTGTTTGTAGATATAAGTCATGAACCACTGTGGTGAGGAATAAGGAAATAACTGCACACGTTCTCCAGGCTGTGACCATGTGAGGATTCTTAGTGTGTGTCTTTTCATTTCCAAGTCTGTCTTTGACAGGCTGTTAATGCCGTTGGTAGGATGAAGATTGTCACATGGTCCATTTCCTGTCTCCCTCTCTCTTTGCCACTGTAAGAAGCTCAAACCCCATCACAATATCTATACCTCCATCTACAACTGGCACTCATATACATAAACCTGCCTCCTGTCTCGTCGGTCGCTGCATTCATATAGGTGAGTGTTCAACTGACTGACTTTTACTAAGATCTATCAAGTGTTAACCTTATGACCAATATATCTTAAATAATCTTAAATATCTTAAAAAAAGAAAAATCTGCATTTCATGTCAGTTGCTCAATACTTGATGTTTTTTAGTATTTATGTGTACTTTAACTTCAGTAAAAGCGCTTTATTGTTTTTAAATGTGCTCAGTGAATTAAGTCATCATATGTCAGAAGCGAAAAGGAAAGAGTAAAAGATTAACACAATATGTTTGTCTTTTTCCTTTTTGGACAACATTTTTATTCTGCTATACTGCTACTTGTCATTATTACAATACACAATTATTTCTGATATGTTGCAACAACTGTGTACTTTCCATTGCTTAACTTCCATTTAGGATTTCAGTGGCTATGCAATGTGTTCACAGTTTTTTTTGTACCGTTTGGTTTGTGGTAACTCCCCTGGCATGGTGTTGATAGGTAGACCACGTACAATAGAAAGTGTCAACTTTCTCATGCCACAAAGACAAAATTCAGTTTTGCCTCACCTCCCATTTTACCCCTTTTAAATATAAGGCAGTTGTGTGTCTCCTCCACAGACATTTTTGCACGCATCGATGGTACAGCTCCCCAAAGCGACAGTTGGTACTATGCCACAAATCAAGCATGTCCTTTTCCTGTGTGAAAACTCCACCCGACACATGTACTACTGGCACACAGACAACAACATAGAATAATGAAGTCCTTGTATAAATGCTGCACAGTATCTGTTTCACACCTTGCGATCAATCAATGTTGCAACCCACAGATGAAAGATTGCATTCAGCGACATGCGTCACTTTCGACAGGTTCTAGAGTACTGTTTCTTCTGTGGTGTATGTTTCATGCTTTTTCATCCAGATATGAGAAATGGATTACATGATATGCATAAATTAATTTATTATTATTAACTAATTAATAAAAGACGATATTGCTTCATTTCCACCAGTATTTGAAAAAAATTTAAAAATGTAAAAAAAAGCCTCAAAAGTCTTTGTCAAACTCTGGCACACAGGTGATGAGAGGCCATTCTCATCCAATCATGACGGGGAATTCCAACAGCAGCAAGCTAGACAACGCCACCCTGTCCCTGTTCCAGAATGTAAACACCAGCATTGCCATCTCTGTCATCTACATGATCGTCACTGCCATTAACCTGGCAGGAAATGGCCTTTCCATATGGATCCTCCTCTTCCGTACCTCCCCAAAGACTCCGTCCATCATGTTCATGATTAATCTCACCTTCACTGACTTGGCCCTTGGCGCTGCCCTGCCCTTTCAGATCGCCTACCAGCTCCAAGGATACCAATGGAAACTGGGACCCAAGATGTGCAGGTTAGTCTTTATGACTGCGGAATAAATCCACAATAAATCCTTTTTTCTTGGTTGCCTGGCAACCTCATGGCGGCATCAAGACTTCAGGATTTCACTGCCCCCGAAAACATAAGAAATAGTCCGGTACATGACCCTCCCATAAAACCAAGTTTTACGTCGTTTTAGCACTTTGGTTTTTGTACGGATTAAACAAACAAGATATAATGTGTTAATTAATGAATTTTAGAGGTTCTGGTAGGTGGATTTTGTTACATTTGGACAGAGCTTCCATTCATTATGCTAAGCTAACTGGCTGCTGGCTGTAGCTTTATATTAAACAGACAAATATGGAAGTAGTATTGTTGTTCTCAGCTTTCCCAAAATGTCAAACCATTTCTTCAATGATCATTTTGCTTAAACCACTAATTAAATAAAACACTCTTCCTCTATGTATCCACCAATAGTTTCCTGACCCTCGTCTTCTACACCAATATGTACTGCTCCATCCTGACCATGATGGCCATCGGAATTGACCGCTACTTGGGAATCGTCAGGCCCATGCTGTTCAGGCAGATCAGAAGGAAGAAGTCCATCGCCGTCATCAGTTGCCTCTTCATGTGGGGTTTGGTCCTGAGCGTGCTTTACCCACTGATGACCACAGACCTGACCTTTTACGTTCCTGAACTCGGGATAACCACATGCTTTGACGTGCTGAAGAAAGACATGCTCCCATCCATATCAGCCTGGGCAACTTTTCTCTTCACCATGGTGTTTGTCCTTTTCCTCTTCCCTTTCTGTGTCACGACATTCTGCTATGTCAGTGTCATACGCAAACTGGCCAGAGATTCCAGTACAGCACAGAAAGCGAGAGCCATACGTCTGGCCTTCATTGTTCTCCTAGTATTCACCCTCTGCTTTGCACCCAACAACATTCTCCTGTTGACTCACACTGTACTGAGACTCTTCTACGGGAAGTCTCTCTACATGGCCTATAAACTGTCTCTCTGTTTCAGCTGCCTGAATAGCTGCCTCGATCCGTTCATTTACTACTTTGCTTCCAAAGATTTCAGACAAAAGCTGAGACAGATAATGAATCTACACAGCTTGAGTAGTGCAGACTCAATGAAGATGGAGCACAAAGAGAGTTTATTCTCGGCACATTGCACTGTCGATGGTCAAGAGAGAGACAACAGCAAGGTGTATTTGGTGCCAGGTACATCACAGCAGAGAGAGAAAAAGAGATAAAAGGAGTGAGATGCGAAAAAGGAAGTGAGAGAAAAATTCAGAGTGTGTTAAGGGTTGCCTCTGTGTGTGCCAAGCTCTTACAATGTCTGTTTATGGGTCAAATTTCAAAATAATTTTACTTCAGTTTTTTTTTTTTTTTTTGTCGGCACAGAACAGAAACATGAACAGTTTCTGAGCTCTTTTTGCTACCTAAGTCATTATTCCTGCATTACCATATAATATTATTATTATTATAAGAGTGAAGAAGCATTTATTGTATGTGTATTCTAATATCTGCCTCAAGTTATTTTTTATTTTAATATGTAGCATCCATAAATGTAAATACAATGTGAATTAAATCTGGGAATCTGGTGGGACACAGCTGACCTTTTTACATGTTTAACATTATGTCTGTACGTGTTTCTGTAAATGTCTGTGTACTATTTTATTTTTTTGTTTTCTTTGTCAACAAAAATAAATGTATTGTATAGTTTTGTGATTATTGTTATTTTTATTTTATTTTTTATTATTATTATTATAATTATATTATTATTAATAACAGTGCTACCACTGTAGATGTTCTTTGGCATACAACTCTTCTAGTGTGGAACGGTGGATCCGCCCACATTATCAAACGTCACCACGTACGCGTCGTTACGTTGCTCGTCCTAGCAAGCAGCCAGTTGTAGTTTCCTGACTTCGGAAGGTAAGCGACGTATTGCATGTGTAGCTAGTATAAAGCAGTGCTCAGAACATGAAACGTGTTTTTATATTCACCGTGTTCGGTTAACCGTGTCCTTTTTTGGGGGGTAAACTTGCTAACCACAGTATAAAGTGACGTTTCACTGTTTAACGTCCACTTGCACTTACAGGAGCTTGTTCTGCTAACCTCACAGAACCTAAAAGCCACAAAACAGCTCATTTTAGCTGACAGCCTTAGCACCAGGTTAATAAAATTAGGATAGCAGAGTGGTGAACTGTGTATGTCGCATGTAATGTTGTTAGGTTATATGCTTAACGTTAGGTGTAACGTTACGTGATTTACTTTGGGTACTTTCAGATAAGCCACATATTAGTTATGTAAGCACATAATTGGCATTAAGCACAGTTATTTTGGAAAATATGTAACTTTATTTAACGCTGCATGTCTGCCTTCGTGCATGAAGTTACTCTACAGTGAATGTAATTACTGTGGGTGGAGATGTCTTTACAGTACTGCCAGCTGGTCATTGTCTTTTTTTAAATGCATTATTCTATTATGTATGTATGTAGATATTGGCCTAGGGTTGCTTTAATTATAGATTAATCCTCTATTCCATAAACCCTAAGAAAGTAAAAATAACATCAAGCCCATTACGGTCTATAAATGGCTTGTTTTGTCCAAACCTAAAATATAGGATTTAAAATAATAAAGCTTAAACCAGTTAGAGTTTGGTATGTTTCCTTGAAGAATTACTTAAATGATCAATTTATTATCTTATGTTGACTGGCTAATTAAATAATCAACTAATCGTGTCAGCACTATATGACCTTGTTGTCAGTGACAGTGCATAACGGAACAGCTGCAGTCATCTGACTCCTTATTGCTGAGTCCTTTACATAAACTAGGCCACATCTGTAATGTTTAACTGTTCACCTTAGGGGCAGTTAGACGAGGAGGCCACTATGGTGCTGAACCCTGTCATTTCCAAGCTTGCTGGTAAACTGGTTGTGCTGGCGAGTGCTTCACCTAGGAGACTGGAGATTCTCCGCAATGCGGTACGTTTCTCTCTGGTTAAACTGTATATATATATATATATATATATATATATATAACACAACAACTGCACCTTTGGTTTCATTATGAACTCATAAAATTGTCAGTTTGAGTTGAGCTTGGATAAAATCTCTCTTTTCTTGGCCATGACTCTGATTATTATTAAGCTGTAATGTGAATGAATGATGCATTATATAAACACTACTTAAAGGTCCAGTGTGTAACATTTAGGAGGATCTATTGGCAGAAAAGTTATATCATTCAGATATGTTTTCATTAGTGTATAAACGCCTGAAAGTTAGTGTCGGGAATCATGGAGTCTGTCATGTTGAACCACTTTGTTTCTACAGTAGCCCAGAACAGACAAACCAAACACTGGCTCTAGACTGGGCCTTTCACAGCCACCATAGTCTCTCCTATATTTTTGGAAGGGTGAGCGGCATTCAATTGGTTGCAGTCTGTAACTTCTCCGCTAGATGTCACTAAATCCTAGACACCGGTCCTTTAAATTAAAGTTACTGATTCTTAGACACAAAATAAATAAAACAAATTCATTCACCTGTCTCGTAAATCTTTGATGATCCAATCAGGCAAGCTTGCCTGCAGTCCTAACAAAAAGGTTTAGAAACTTTGGGCTGAATGAATGATAATGATGAGTATTTTATTCATAACTAGACCAATAAAACAGCTGTACTGATATATTGGTATCAGTCCAAAGATAACAATAAATTGCAGTACTGCTGCTGTTGGATACCACCAAAGTTCACTGACAAGTTTATATTTCAATTGTAAAATATTATGTTTATGTAAATGGATGATCTAAATACTATAATATATCCCCTTCAAAAAAATCCAGTGTGGATTGGAGTATAATTTTGTTGTTGCTTTTTTCTCTTCTACATTTCAGGGCTTACGGTTTGAGGTGGTACCATCCTGGTTCAAAGAAACTCTCGACAAGGGACTTTTCAAAGCACCTCATGAGTATGCTGTTGAGACAGCCAAACAGAAGGCCCTAGAGGTGGCCAGGAGGATGCCTTTTGTGAGTTAAGCTCCTTTTTGTATGGCATGTCCTATTGAATGACATGTTGATAACACATTTTGTATTCATTTGCATTAGAAACATCTGAAGACTCCAGACATAGTAATCGGAGCAGACACTATAGTGGTAAGAGAAGCACTGCAGTATTATATTTGCTTAATCTGCGATATAAGTTGTATGTTTTTTTTACTCTCTATGGCCTTTGTTTTTAATGTCCGCAGACTGTAGATGGCATGATACTGGAGAAGCCTGTAGACAAACATGATGCTTACAGGATGCTGTCAAGGTAGGTTTCATTTACATCATTTCTGAGTTAACATTCGAAACAGGAAATTGACAGGATATTGTTTTTCATGTTCTCTCTTCATTTTTTATATATATATATTATTTATCTTTCTCTTCCAGTTTGAGTGGTAAAGAGCACAGCGTATTCACTGGTGTAGCTATAGTCCTCTGCCACGAGAAGGAAAGTAAGTCACAGCTGAATAATGGTTTGATGTACAGTTTATTTTCTGTAGAAATAAACTGTAGAAAAAATAGAAAATAAAAACAACTTTGTGTGTTTTATCTAAACACACAAAGTTGTTTTTATTTTCTATTTTTTAAATGCCCAGCAAGCATAACTGTGAGGAAAATCTGTTACAGTAATGTAATGTATGTTTCCTAAATATATGTAGGAGGCCTTTACTGGCCATATATAGTGTTTCCATCAGTGGACACTGATCTAATTTCTAAACCTCCCTGTCCCCAGATGAAGAAGTGGATTACCAGTTAATTGACTTCTACGAAGAAACGAAGGTGAAGTTTGCTGATCTCTCAGAAACTATGCTGTGGGAGTACATCAATAGCGGTGAACCCATGTGAGTATGAACATTTGAACTTCCACATATGTAATAGCTATTGATTTCTCTTGGTGTAGTAACCTGACCAAGCATTTGATCAGCGAAGGTCATTTAAGTGGATGTGCCTCATGAACCTGTTGCTTTTTGGACTTTGAGTTTTTTTTCCAGCTGTGTTTGCCTTGTCCTATTTGACAGGGACTGTGTCAGCAAGAAATAGAATCTCGACTTGGGTCAGCGAGAGTATATTCTTGATTTTGTTCTGCATTTAAAGAATGTATCCTTATAGATACAACTCCTTTATGTATGTGTACAAGGGTTTCTGTATTAATCTGAAATAGGATTGGGCGATATGTTAAAAGTTGCCTAACCAGGTTAGGGGTTAAAATTTGCCTAACCAGGTTAGGGGTTAAAATTTGCCTGACCAGGTTAGGGGTTAAAATTTGCCTGACCAGGTTAGGGGTTAAAATTTGCCTAACCAGGTTAGGGGTTAAAATTTGCCTAACCAGGTTAGGGGTTAAACTCACAAAATGTCAAGAAAGTAAACATTCTTACATTTCTTTTCCTTGTAAACAATGAATTAATTCATCAAGAAAATGTTGTTTAAGTGAAACATTTGTGTCTGTGTGTGTGTCAGGGACAAGGCTGGCGGCTATGGTATTCAGGCTCTCGGGGGTATGCTTGTGGAGTACGTCCACGGAGACTTCCTCAATGTTGTGGGATTCCCCCTCAACCACTTCTGCAAACAACTGGACCTTATTTACAACCGAAGCACTTCCTCGTCGGATCAGAAAAGTGAATCTGTCTGCCTGAGCCACAATGGTACGCACGCCACCACGATACTCACTCAGCCCCCGAACAACCTACCACCTCAGTCTGGCCACAGTCCGAAACACAACCTCACATCCAGCCCCAGACCTAACAGCTTGTCTGCCAGTCAAACACACCACACCCAGAACAGCCCCCCAGCCAGTCCTGTTCATAAGGTTAGTTATTCTCACCCCATCACCACAATTGCCATTCCTGTCATTATTTATGAGTAACAGTCTCTCTTTATAGGTGCAAAGGACCAGTGAAAGTGAAGTGGGTGAAAGTTCCTGGACGTTGGTCAATAGCCTGTCTAAACATACAGACAAGTTCCGCGACTGTGAGAATACACCATTACCACTGATGACCAGCAGAGGGCAGGTGATGGAGCTCAATGTGACAGAGTGTGAGAACAGTGAACCAAAAAAAGAGGACTTGCAGCGAATCATTGAACTGATGGATGGATTCAAAGCCTCAAAGGTACTTAGAGATAAACTGTGTATTTCTATACCGGAAAAGCTTTCTGTGATATTATCACTTTCTTGCTGAGAGTTAGATTAGAAGATTGGTCCCACTTTCATATATGTACAATAAATGTTAAGTTAAGCCAGGCAGAGCATAAAGTCTGGGGTCAGAGGGAAACAGCTAGCCTCGCTCTTTCCAAAGTTAAATAAATAAATCTCTAAAGTTCATGAATTCACACAGTATATATTGGTTGTTTTATCTGAAACCAAAGATGCAATATGTGGTTTTACCTGGTATAAAATAACTTCTTGGAAACACAGATGCATGCCAGGCAAACTCAAAGTAACCACAACAAGCAGATTAAACAAACAAGATATAATGTGCTCTTTAGTGAGTGTTTAGAAGTGCTGGATCATATTTAACCATCAGGGTGGTACTGATCTCAATCTAACTCTCAAGGCAAGAAATTGTACTTCTGCTATTTCCTTTACGACTCCTTTAAAAATAACCTATTCTGATCTGTAATGTAGTGCATAGTGTGATGGTGTGGATCTGAAGTGGGGCACCACAAATATGTATTTATTTTGTTTTTTGTTTTTAAGGAACAGAAATGAAAAAGAATATCACATATCACATTCACATGAATAAAATTTAACGTTCCAGGCACTATTTACCGCATCCAAGATGTGTGTGTTTGACCTGCTACAAAGCAGACCCGGGCTGGATGCAGGACAGGTGGCCCAGGAGATCAAGGCCTCTGCAAAGGGGACTGAATGCCTGCTGGAAGCCTGTGTGTCTCTGGGACTGTTGAAGTGCAAAGAGAGAAGTTAGTCAGCAGTCAGCTGTGTTGCTCATTACACAATGGTCACTTTTTTATACCTTAACAGTGTAGCATTAAACATAAAATGAACCTCTCACATTTTTTATGGCGTCTCCACTCACAGCATACCAGAAACCAGCGTACGTGAACACAGATCTGGCCACGCGTTTTCTGCTGTCAGATGCTCCTTTTTCGCTGCAGGGCTACATCTGGCATTGTAACGACACAGTGTGGCCTCTTTTCTCCCACCTTGAGAGTGCTGTGCAGGAGGGAACAAACCAGCACGAGAAGGCTTTCGGCAAGAAATCTAAGGATATGTTTCAGGTGATTATATCCAAGTTCAGCAGATGGATTAAATGGGGGGGAAATTAAAATATTTTATAGATGCTATGTTTTTTTGTTCCTCTGTGTCATTTGTTTCTGTTTAAAGGATACCTTCTACAACAATCAAGCAGTCAAACTGAGATTCATGAATGCCATGCACAGCATTGCTAAAGTTACAGGAAAAGCTGTAGCAACGGCCTTTGATCTCTGCGGTTTTAAAACTGCTTGCGACCTTGGAGGTAAGGGGGGACATAAAGGTATGAAACTGTTTTCTGCAGTAATAAACTTTTGCACATAATAATTTTGTTTTGTTTTTGTTTCTTCCAGGATGCACTGGTGCCATGGCCTATGAGTTTACCAAAGCCCATCCTGCGTTGTCTGTGACAGTGTTTGACTTGCCGGCTGTCATTGAGATGCGTGAGCATTTCCATCCTCTGCAAAAAGACAACAGGGTATCATTTGTAGCAGGTCAGTTTGTATTTCTGCATCCAAATATAATCTTGACTGCTGATGTTGAATGACAAAACGATGACTAATGCTGTGCAAGTCATTCTGTGGGTCTTGATATATTTCTGACTATAACTCATGGCTCTGTCCTCTATGTATGTGTAGGAGACTTCTTTAAAGATGAGTTGCCCAAAGCAGAGTTGTACATCCTGGCAAGAATTCTGCATGACTGGCCTGATGAGAAAGTGCATCTTCTGCTGAGTAAAATTGCACATGCGTGTACACCAGGTAAAATACTTAAAGCTCTTTTAGTCTTTTTGGTTTTTTTACTACATGTTTTAACTGAACAATGAATGCAATCTATGTTCTCATCAGTATCATGTGCCAGACAGACTTATGGTTTCATTTCTATAGTGAGACTGCTGAAACTAATTTCACAGACAAATTCTCACATATGAGTAAAATGATGTGTGAAATCCGCTTCTGTTGGTTTCAGCCACAACTTGCAGGCTCTTATTTTGCAGTGGGACTTACTGGTGTAACCTGTTATAAGATATAAGAGATAAACATAATTGAACTGTTGTGACATGTAAAACAACACTTTGCAAGAAACTGACTAATTCAAAGCCAAGACAAAATAGCAACTTGATGTTAGTTTTGTTTTCTTCCTTGTTCTACTTGACCTTTATTCTTTGCCTTAAGCAAAGGAATGCCAGGGCATAAAGGATTACAAAACCAGTACCAGTAACCTGTAAAGTTGAGCATACACATACACATCATGCACTTGCACCATTGTGCCAGGCTGCGGACTCCTGCTAAGTGAGATCTTCCTGGATGAAGACAGAAATGGTCCGAGTCGTGGGCTGCTCCAGGCTCTCAGCATGAGCGAGGGGAAACAGAGGAGCGCCACAGAATACAGTCTGCTTTTGAAGAACCATGGTTTCATAACGGCAAACATCAGACATACAGACAACCTCCTTGATGTTATGCTCTGCATCAAAGTATGACTGACAACACCCTCAACAATACTACATGGAAGGTCTTGTGATGTTCAGTATACTGTAGGTAACATTTCCTTTCCTATACACTAAGGTCTTAAACATTCTCTTTTGTTGGCCTTTAGGATGTGCACTGCTCATAGCTGAGACCATGTTGGATGGACAGACAGCCTACTCTGCTCTGCAGTCTCTGAACATGCTTGCCCAGACTGAGGGGACAGAGAGGACAGAACGCCAGTATACGGACTTGCTGAGCAAACATGGATTTGGGGACACACGTGTGGTTCACACTACAAACTTCCTTGATGCTTTTATTGCCATTAAAATGTAGCATGTGAATCATGCACACTAAACCTTTTGTTTTTCATTCATTTGATTATGACAGACAGTCTTTGTTTAGATTTTGGCCTGTTGATAATAATACCACAACAGATAATGGAACAATGACATAGATAATGAGCAATTATTTCATTATTATTTCATTCTCAATTTACAGTATGATAATCTTATAGAATAGGATGCATTGCTGTAGATTAAACTACCCAACAGTATATAAAGTAGTTCAAATGAGCTCAATCTTAAACATCTACAACAGTAAAATGCAACAAACACAATCTAAAAACTAGTATAATCACACCATCATTGTAGTATTTACTTTCAATTTCTCAATTTTGATATTCCAATATATTAATTTATTTGATATATTGCCTAGCTTTACTTTAAAGGCTAAAATGCAGTCAGCACCTGTAAAAGCATACAAGGCCAGCATGATGTGTGACTGATCAAGTTACAAAATCAGGATTCAAAGTTCATGCCGATCTTTGCTGCAGTGGGGAACTCTTAGGACCTTGATGAGCTTGTGTTCAGTGGCACTGAACAGTTCACCTATTGCCTCTATGGTTTTGGTCCTTGAGTAACGCAAATTGATGAAGTAAGAGAGATTAAGGTCAAGAAAATGTGTGCCTCAAGGCTCGAGCTTCGACCAGGTCTCTCCACTGATCTTTCAACCTTTACACCTTGCAAGAGGGTCCTCTGTAAAGAGTCAACCTCCACTATGTATCTGAAAAAGGGCTCAAGAATACTACCCAGAAATTCCATCCCCTCTTCAGCATGGATTTCATGTCAACTCTGAAAAAGGACGAGAATTATCTAGTTCAGAGCAGGGACGCTGGAAGTCAGTCAGAGTTGGGGTTGCTGAGAGAAACTGTGTCTTTTTACCAATGTCATACATAATGCTATTAACAAACAAATACTCTGCAAAACCTCAAAAAAGTGGCAGCCTCTAGTTGCCAGATTTATACCATAACCTAGATCTATAGCTGATACACATGGTTTAGTGGTTACCACAAAGGGACCTGTTTTTTTACCACTGAGTAAACTAATGACCGCTGACTGACAAGTGACATATTTTATGGATATAGAGTAGAGAGTAGAGAATGGTAAACTGTAAGATGAACCAAAAGAGTGAACACAGGAAGTTTGTATAAAACAAGCAACTCAGATTAATTTTTTAGCAGATTATTATGTGAATATTGCATCAGGGATGAGTTTTATTGATATTTTGAGGAATATTGGAAAAATTCCCTCTATATATTTTACTTATTAGTGTATTTGGCAAATTCAGTGTTTTCTTCTCATTGTTCTATTACGCAGGATGAGGCTGTTTATCAGACAGTGAAGGCTCTATGAATATTCAGGTCTTCCAACATAAAAATCTAAACTTTAAAAATAACAATTTGATTTGATTTTGAAGTTTTTTTCTATCCCTGAAAATCAAAAAGGCCTTATAGGTGCTCCTGTTGAAACTACTTTGTTGACACAATGACAATAAGTGAAACTGCTCTCAGTGAATGTATTAAATCCTCAGTGTATGTTCTTAGTTTAATGATATTTTTCATTAAACTCAACATTTCAAGTGAAAATACTTCAAGTTGAACCCTTGCTTTTAAGTTCTGAAGTGGTATGAAAATAATATAAAATATATGAGAAAAGATTAGTTGATTCCACTAAATTCCTGCATTAAGCTGCCTATACTCTGGCATCTATGATACATTTAAAAGAAAAAAATATATTTCTATGATTGTCTGGTGTGTAGCTTCTTCATTTGAAAAACACAGGCTGTGGTCAGCTGGATCATATCTGTGGTTAGAAGAGTACCTCCTGCATCTTAAACACTCTGGAGTGTCATGTTATGATGATGCAATCTGGATGCAATGGGAGAAAGATGATTAAAGAAGCAATAATCAAATCTAAGCAGTGCCTAAGCAGGATGTCATTTGTACACTGTCTGCCCAGTGGACATGACATCACATAGACTTCAACTTGGAGGAAGAGTGCCAGTGATTAGGGAGACTCAGCCTTCTTCAATCGGACCCTGTCAATATACTCTGAGGCACGGGTGGGGCCTTCATCTTGGTGATGGATTCAGTACATCTTTCCAAATCGACCCTCATTTCCCTGCTCCCCACACAAGTGTTATTTAAGCTTCTTTACCCTTCTCTTGTCCTCCAAAAGCTAAAGTTTTGCTTGCAGTGTAAGTCACACTAACCAATGGACAAATCCATCAGAGCACTATTTAAACTCAGCATACATTAATGCTCCATTTGGTCTGTGTGACCATGACTTGTTTGCAAAGCATGATCAAACTCTGACTACTTATCCTCTGACGTTAATCTATCCCATATTAAAGCTGTGGAGATTATACTTGGCTTGTCAGTGTTTTACTTACAGGAGCTCACCTCCTGAGTGATATTTGATACTCTGGAAAATAAACCAAATATTTATTTTGCCTTTGAAAGAATTTCAGTGCTTTTGTTCCCTGCTGTGTCAGTAAACCTCCTCAAGGTGGCACCACAAACCTGCAGATCTCTCCAGAAAGCTGTGAGAGACACACAGAGTTCCCTGTTTTGTTAAACTGTCTAATTCTTTCCAGGGGCAGCAGGATGTATGCTAGACGGCTTGAATTAAGGTTTATGTTACCAAGTTTGGGAATTCATTTGTGCTTCATGCTTATGGTTGGGTAGGATCGTCTGTTAATGCAGAGAAGCAAATGACACCATCCCTTAATTCCTTACAGATAAACTTCTCGGATTTCAGTTTTGAGGTGAAGCAGCCAAACAGCTGATGGGAATGTGGGAATATTTCTGGCCAGGATAAATAGCTCTTATTCTTTCTGACACCGAAAGTGTATCCGGATTACTCTTCATTTTGGATCCCTCTCTAAGTATTTTCCTAGAAGGGTAATAAGGGTGGTCATGTTATTCATGGCTATTTTCTTGTCAGTCTGGGCTCAGGCTCTGTGACATCTAACTGATTTCCATTACTCAGATTGTGTTCTTTCGACGAGGAGAGACAGGGGGAGGGTGGACTGAAGTTCAAATATGACACTGAGTGTAAATCACACAAGTTTTGTTTTATTGTGAACACACACTGAATGCATCAAAACACCATATATTGCAAGACATTCCTGCCACAGTGATTGTGAAAGCCTGTACTGATTCAATATATTTAACTCTACACACATTACTGATCAGGTTTTTTTTTTTTCCTAAAGACAGCAAATTGCTGTGTAGCCGGAGAATGTACATATAGGGCTTGTGAAACACAGATGAGCGTCACAAATCAAACAGCAGAGTCTGTGTTCCCTTAAAACATGATGAAGCATTTCCATGAAAGGATTTGCATATCCGTTCACTTCCAGTGTCCCATCTGCACCCGCTCACCCTTTTGTGTACGAGTATCAACAGCAAAGCCTCTGCTTTTTAATGAAAACCATTCAAGTCAATCAAGTTTACCAGAGACCAAAGGCCAGTGTAATTTGGGAAAATTGCTGAAACTCCAAAGTAATCTTCTGTAATGTGATCTTGCCTATTGAACACTGGCTGTACTGTACGTGTCGGATAAGAGCTCAGTCATTTTCTTCAAATGCAGTCTTGACAAGCAGCATGGATATCCACCTGCAAGTAATCATCATTCTAGTGTTAAGTGCTTTGATATTAAAATGACTGATTTAAGACCATTTGCTGCTCGTAGATAGCGATTTTGAAAACACTTCCATATGCTGATAGCGAGGATAAGCTGGGTCTGTGAACTGGGTGGACTGCATGTTGTGTTCACTGTTGTAGAACAGCCAGTGGAAACACACCACGGTTAAGCCACGACTTCAGTGTTTCAGTTGGGAAAGGAGATTATACATATAACAAGAATGATGTAATCAAAACCTTCAATAATGACAAGTGCAAAAGTTTCATAAGATTTAGTATGTGAAATGCTTTGTAATGTAAACCCTTACTTCAGTGAACTTTCATGCATGCTTATTTTGTAACCACTTGGGGGCAACATTGGCTAAAGGAAGCCTCCATACAGAGGCTGATTTAATCAAGTTATATTGTTTGTTGACACTCTTATCAAAGTGACAGGAGAGGACAGACAATTTCACTGCTGAGATATTTGAAAATGTGCAAATATTCATGTCAAACTATTGTGTTATCTCAGTTGAAAAAGAAATAGCACCATTGTTTATACCGAAAGCATCTCTGTGACTTTGGAAAGGATACACAGAATCCAAATGGTTGCATGCAGAATAACAAACACTCTCTAATCACTCAGTTTTCTGAATTGCCTCTCAAAACTGAACTCATGCTCGGGCACCTGTTTCAAAGAACAGGCTTGTTTATCAAAGGCCTCCTCTGTCAACAAACAGAATAAGCGCGATGATGGCTGGCTCCTCAGCCCACATCTGATTTCAGCAAATGTGCAATTGTTCAAAGTGAGTTGTGCTTCATTGATTTGTTTCAAGGCAGAGGAAAAATAACCTCGGGGCTTCTACCAGTTAGAAATAACAATGGAGTCCTTCTCTGCTGTTTGTAGTTTTTTGGCCCAACATCAGTAGTAGAACATGGAGGGATTTTCATGCAACTGCTGGTGGGGACTGTGTAAAAGAGTGCGCCACTTTTCGCTGGAGATGGGGCTTTATGTCGGCGTAACAGATCAGTAAATGTTACAGTCATTGTACTCTAATATTAAAATGATTCAGCAGAGACTTTAAATTGAGTCATGTCTGCTTTTCTTTTTGATTTCTTTGCATGATTTAAACCATTATTGATTTGTTTGAGTTTAGATTTTTTTAAAGGAATAGTTCCACATTTTGGAAAATCTGCTTATCTTTTTTTTTTACCCCCTGAGAGTTAGAAGATCAATATTTCACTCTCATGTCTGTGCTCTAAGCAGGAGAAAGGAAGTGAGTAACTTAGCTTAGCATAAAGCCTGGAAGCAAGGAGAAACAGCTAGTTGTCCAAACTTCAAAAATACGCCCACTAGCACCTCTAAAGCTAATAGCCTGATGGCTTTAGCTGAAACGTGGTATCGATCTTCCAATTTTTAACAATGTACAAAAACGCATTGGAATAAACGTTTGGATTGTAAAGTCTATCTGATCACTGATCGAATATGTGAACACCAGCAGTGAAACAGCGAATACACCACCACTCAGCTCACAATCAGAACCCAATTGGCCCCCACTAAAAGCCAACAACAATCTCATTAACATATGGAAATATTTGTTGCGGTCAAATACGAGAGACTGTCTCCCCTTCCTGTCTCTGTGTGATGTGTGAGGTGTCACTCAGAGGTACAGTAGGGGAGGAGACTCTCTGGGCTGAAATGGTTGGTGACAGGGCTTTCATCCGACCCACTGAGGGCTCTTTGTTGTTATTTTGGGATCTCTCATGGGTGCAATCTGAGAGAGCAGCAGACAGACGGGTCTCATCTCTGCACGAGGACTCACACACACACACACACACACACACACACACACACACACACACACACACACACACACACACTAACCTGCACATACAAAAAAATTTAATGACATGCTTACTGTCATGTCAATCAAATTGGCTGGTTTTCTGGAGGTATGTGCACATATGGAAAATCCATTAATTCTCAGCAATTAAGACACAAGTAGAATATTTCAAAACAGAAGAATAAAGTTATTCAAGATTTTAAAAAATACGAGATAGTAAGTCTAAATTATTAATTCATAAATTACTTATGACCTATAATGAGCATTTCTTTTCTTAATTTCAAACTTTTTAATATTTTCTTCTTTTTGTGGTGGAAATGGGCATCCATAGATTTGAGTCTCTATAGTGAACAAGGAGTCATGGTGAAACTTTGCAATAGTGGAAGTCTTCCATTTAAATACTTATTTTTATGTTGCTTAGATGTGAGTTATTTTAGTTTTTTGTAAATAAACTCCTGTGGCACCAGTGTGACTGTGGTCTCGGCTCACTAATCCATAGTGGTATAGTCACTTTTAAAAATGGTTTCTATCTGTCAAGATTTTGAGAAAGCTTGATAATCAACAAACTTTGCTGTTAACAGGTTTCATTGAGGTTACAGAATTATCAGGAGTAAAAAGAATGTTTTTTTTTATTACTTTGGCCATTTTGTTATTAAAGAGATAACAGTAAAGGGAAGGAGAAAGAGATGCAACAAACTGGACTTTTTACTTTAAACATAAAAAAAAAATTATAAAAAAAAAAAAATCACTCACCTCCATTGTGTTGGGGTGGCAGCAGAAGTTTCAGAAGTGTGTAATTCCAAACTTTGGTGCATAAAACCAAAATGATCGTGGGTAGATACCACTAGGGCTGAGTGATTAATGTTCTTTTGTTATCTTGGTAGACTGACCATTTAAAGAATTAAAAACAGGAAAAAAACATATAGTCCTTGCCACAGTTGTGTGTTTGAAAATTACTCTGCATGAATGGAAATGAAAGTCTCAAGTTAACAGCTTAAGTCTATTTGATTTCGCATTCAAACAGTAACAATGATCACAACCTCTGTCGGTGTAAGATGCAAAACAAATGTTTAGCCTATCAATGGTTTGTGCCGATAAGATATTTATGGGGTTGACAAAGTTGTCTTTGTGTCTGTCTTGTTGTCTGTTATCATGAGTTGAAGGTGCTTCCGCAGTGGCCTCTGACACACATCACAGGCGGCTGCTGTTTAAAACAAGTGAGAAGATATATTCCTCTCACTGTGCAATGGTAACCCTTGCTCTTAACCCCCTCCAGCAGCAGTTCATCCTCCAAACAATAACAATCAATTCCCTCCACATCTGACAGAGCCGAAGAACAACTTATAAATGATATGCATCTCCTGCTGGTCCCATGGCAACCGCCTTGACTTTATTGTTGCGTTTCTTTGATCCCGCCAAGCTTTGATTCATTTCTCTTTCACCCTTTTAGCTAAACATATCATGTGAATTTGGAGCTTTGTTCCTGACAGTCCCCGTCTTACCTCGCTCTCTCCACAGGCTCCTGACGCCTCCCAGAGGAGCCGCGGAGGAGGAGAGGAATTCCACTGGATTCAAAGCCTTCTCTGGGTTTCTTTTTGACTCTTCTGCCTGCCTTGCCTTCCTCAGCTCCTCATGTTGACCTGCTCCTCGTGATCCCCTGCCAAACCATCTTCCTGGCCCTGGGGGACTGTGGCTGTGTGTGCACAAGCATACACATTACATGGGCGCATGGAGGGTTTGGGGCTTTCATTCTAAGTTCCAATAGTAGGTTCTTCTGCATGTCCAAGCCTTTGATTCAGTGAATGAGGAGAATACATTTTGGCCTGATTCGTTGGGCGTTTTTCATCAGGACTTATATAATTCTGTTGACGGAGCTGTAGATACGTTTCCAGGTTTCTTCCTTTGAGAAATCCATTGCAGGCAGTCTTCAAAAGAGTGGGACATTATATGTAAAGGACTTTCACCGTAATGAAAAATGAAAAGTGTGTGTTTTCCCAGTACCATCTGGTTTCAATCATGGCAATATCCTAAACATGACCAGTTTCTTGAATCAGCTACCCTCAGCTTGCCTCCCAGACGTTAGGCACTCATTATTCTAGTCAGGCCTCGCCGACAGCTACACAAAGTCTCTTATGCCAGTAAAGCACAAATAGAAGTAAGCTATTCTCTCAATCACTTCATAATCACTTCACAGTGGCTGTTTTCATTGTTATAATGTGGTTCATAATGGTCCAGTTTTTATTACAGGTCATGGGATTTAACCTTGTGATTAATAAGACTCCAAGGAAAGTCTTGTTTTAGGTGTCACTGTCGGTACATACACACATATTACTGTTAGAATAGTCATCCCACAAAAACTGGACATAATATGGGATTTATATCAGAGGTCTATTTTGAGTCTGTGAATAATAAGGAGGTGACTTTGAAGATAATCCTCTCCTGGTTTTGTTATTGCAACCATTAGCATGCTAAAAATCCCCAAATTTCACCCCAACTCACTGGCAATGTTTTTAAACTCAACACACAACGTAATTCAAAGGGATATCTGGGGATATTGGGTGCCATTAGTTAAGTAATGTAGCGTATCACCCCACCAGCCTACATTACTCCATATTTGTGCCTGTATATGTGAGTTGGCAGGAGATGTACTAAACAGGATACAGTAGTATAAATGTGTCAGAGTAAGAATATTGAGCATCTACCCAAAGTTTGATCAGAAGACGTTGAGGTGTCAGTGCTGTATATTAAAAGTTATTTTTTGTTTGTTGGAGCAGTTTCATGGGGTTGTGCTAATCTGTGTTCTTGTGCATGCATATCTTTGTATTTTGATAAAGGGGAGGAAACATGTCATGGTATTAAACAACGTGTGGCTCCATCCCATTGAAATTATTTTTACACATCAATATATCACTTTAAAATTAATTGTTTGGCATAATAACCATTAACAAATTAAACTACTGTATGGTCTATGACTGCCCACCTCTGTCTCATGCCAGATGCACTATTAAATCAGCACCACATTTCCCATAAACTTCAGTACTAACTGCTGCAAAGAGGGCGTTGCCACTTGATAGAAGCCCTGAGGGATAATTCTAGCTATTAGAACCCAGGCCTTATATAACTTTACTGTTTGTAGCTCCAGTTAAAAGCTATTAAAACACATCATTTCATGAACTCACACATTTACCTCCAGTTAAAATCAGTGAAAAGTCTCACTCTGTGTTATAGATGCACATGTTACAGTAGGTAGAGACTGAAAGGCATGGTTCTCTCAGCTTTCAGCCACTCACTTATTTGCTTAACTGGGGCTCCCTGCTTTCACACATGCATTTTGTATGTGTATGCATGGGAGACTGTGCATGCATGTTTTCTTCAGAGGAACTTTTTTAAAGGCCCTGCACAGGTGTTTTCACTTATGCTAACTAATTAGACCTCAGCCCAGGTTGGAGCTGGGCGGAACTGTGCTGGAAATGCGAAATCATCAAATTACAATCAGAACAATAAAAGTGTACGCTGTGCCGCCCAAACAGGTGCATCAAAGCTAACAGGAGCGCAGTCTGTACATCCCCACGGAAAGAGAAAAGGTCTAATTAGGTAAAAAAAAAGAAAAGAATAGAAAAAAAGATGAGCACATCTATTCTGTGAAACAGCTCAGTCATGTCATAGCTGTGCTCTTAAAAGCAATTCAACAGAATCACTGACTCGCTTTGTGAGTGCACTGATCTTGCTGTGCACAGTGTTATGAGAAGCACCCACATGACATAGTGCAGTAGGTCTTCTGCCATGAGTGCAACATAAGTCTAAGGAGCATTTGTGACACTGATGGGGAGCTATTGGGAAAATACTGCTTTATATACAGGGCCATACAGCATTTAAATCTATTTTTGTATTTTCTTTAGTAAGTGCTCAGTGCAGTATTTTTAAATAAAATAATTATAGTTAAAATAAAATAGATTAGATAAATAAGCCAGCACATGTGCACTGTTCTCTTCTTTTCCCTCCCTCTTTGTTCATAATACACACTAAGTAGAATGATGAAGAGGATAATGATGATCGGGACCAATTAAAGCAAGTACTAAAACAGTTATTGGGGTATAATTTTTTCCTTCCATCATAATAATATCTGACATATCTTACAGAGTGACTCCCCTTGTTCTTTGATCGCCCTCCTTAGGTGCCAAAGCACTTAGGCAGATAGTAAGAAGAGTATGAGCTGGAATATATTGCTCATTAAAACTCCTTACCCTCAATGACAACCACGTGTGTAATGCAACAAGTTTCAGCTGTAATGTGATCATTGTTTCTCCACACATTATGAGAAAGAAGAGAAGGGGCGAACAGTACTTAAATTAATTGAAACTGATGTTTCAGTGATGACTACATTCAGCTATGTGTAGTGTAACGTCGCCTAAGGGGTTGCACAGAACCACATTTTTAATTTTATTAACTGAAATTCATCAATATTGGCAAACAGAATGAAACTGAATTTTGATGATACTCACATCTTATGCTGACTTATTTACAGTGGAGTTGTCATTACTTTAGACTGTAAGATTGGATAAAGGATGAAAAAGGAGTAGTGCAGTGAGTAACAGTGTAGATGAGATGAAAGCACCATACTTTAGGGAAAAGGTGCTGGAAGTTGGACCTTGTAATGATTAGCAGATCTTAAGAAAATGCTGTGCATCATTATGCCTAAGTCTTCCACAGTTGTCAATAATTTTATCACACCTGTCTCTAACAACTCTGAATTGCTATTAGTCAAATTGGAACGTCAATACTGACTTTACCCTCAGCACGGTTGTTGTAATGTGAGTTTTAACCAATGGAGGGCAGTATAATGACAAGCATCATCACAAAGGCTTAAACCCAAATAAGCTAAGTTCAACACTCATATGCTAGTGTTTGGGTTTATCGGGCATGATATATAAACCACTTGGTGAATTTTGTGTCTTCTGCCACTCAGCTTTGACACTCTAACACGTTTAGGTTCCTGTGATAATAACTGATGAATGAAGAAAGAGGGGGTTGATTTTTTTAAGTATGTTGCAGTCAAGTTTTAATAAACATGCCTTTTTCTATGTATGCTCCTGGAATTTAAGTCCATTAGCTTCACTGATAGATACAGACACATAATTTTCTATTTAAAATGCAGATGGATCAATAAGGTTAAAGAACAGATTTTTACAATTTCTCCACTAAAATGTCTTTATGTTTTAAAATCAATATTTTTTTGAGTGAGTCATTTAGATATTTTTCCTACTTACTAGATTTTTCTTCCATTTTACAAATATTCTGCCTCTGGAAATAAACATCCACCAATGTTTTCTTGCTAATCAATGTTTAATCTTTTTTTTTTTTTTCATTCAACCACGTTTTTTTTTTTTGTTTGTTTGTTTGTTTCAAGCAGCGTTTGAAGAGCGGTGGTGGAGCCTGGGGATGGTTGGGGGTGAGCTCAGCCTGGACGGCAGACAGCACCTGAGAGTGAACCTCAAACCTGGGGGTACGACCCACAACGTGACCTCTGCAGTTGGAGCAAAAACACAAAGAAACAAAGACTTTTGCTACAGCACAATGCGGAACCTGCCTGGTCCTCTGTGCGCACTATTGTTTAAAATTTTGTTTCATGCAGCCAATGATTAATAATGGGGTTTGATTGTGTTAATTATTCTTGTCAGCTCCATTTCTCTTTGCACAGTGATTTTTATATCCTCATGAATGTTTTGTTTAATCAGTGAACATATCGCTTTTTCACGTCCAAGAAATTTCTCAATTCAGTTTTCTCACTAGATCATAAAAATAACAATATATTTTCTCCCCTTACACACACTCACACCCACACTGAGTTATTACTGTACCTCTTCTTCTGCATTTCTCCAAAGAGCTACAGCAAACAGCTGCCTGATTAATAAGTTAGGTCCTCTAAATATGGCTCAGAGTCATGTATCTTTAAAAACTACTTAATAATGGTAATCAAGATTATCAACAACCTACTAATTATATCTTTACACTTTCCTCTCTTAATTATGTATAGTTCTCCTTCACCATGGATAAAAGGGCTGCTTTCTCGGTCTCAGGTGGATTGTTCATCTTAAGTGTTTATGATGGTGTATTTGTATCACCGCCACGCTCCCTTAAAGTGGCAGTGAGCTAAAAGGGGCCTGTGCCTCTTCCGTGCGTGAATCAACCACAATGGAGGAGTTCCTATGTTTTATTTATTGATATGTTTTAGTGGGGGAAGACCTAGCGTTCATTATCATAAAGGCCTCTAGACATCAAGTCACACACAAAAGAGCCAGCCGTCTCACAGTCTCTCACACGCACAGATCAGCACACGCACAAGAGGAGCAGGCCGCTTTGCTGCAGCGCCTCCTTGCCAGCAACCGTTGGTAGCGTCAGTGACAGAAGCTGACAGTGTCAAAGTATCTTTGTCTCTCGCACATAAACTGTCCCTGAAGCTGTCGTTGCAAGAGAGATGTAAAACACAAGGCTTTTTTTTTTTTTCCTTCACGGGGGAAGTTGTTTTCGTCCCCCCCTAGTTTTTTTAAATGTGTCATATCTTTTCTGTCAGGGCCCTGGGGCGCCTGGTGGTGCTCGTGCTAGAGGAGGAGTGTAAGCATCGGCAAACCCAGCGGAGTCTGACCATATTGTACCTGCGCTCGTCTTCATCTCGCTTATTTTGTCAAAAGCTCAAAGCCGTGAATTTCAGACAGCCGCGTTGTCATCTGATCTGTGCGAGTGTGAATCTTTATGTGTGTGTGTGTGTGTGTGTGTGTGTGTGTGTGTGTGTGCTTGTGTAAAGGAAGACAGCCAGTAGGAACAGATGTGGGGAAAGTCAGTGAAAAACTCAATATGAACCCTGCAGAGGCCTTTCCTTTCTCTCTGTTCAATTATTTAGAGTCAAAGAAAAGAGGAAAGAGTAACATATTTCCACAGAAGCCACTGTGTTCGGTAGGAATGAATAACATATTTATCTAGTCTCATCTTTGCCAAATAGCCGGAAATGGAAACAAATACCTTCAATTGGATTCTCGGCTCTGGTGTTTTCCTTGAGCTGCTGCTATGTGTACTCATGCAGTCATATTGAAAAATTCCTCAGGACCAAAAATTATGGAAGTGCTGACAAGCAGAATTTTTCATGGTATCTAGATGTACACTTGGCAGTTTCAGGCAAAGCTTATCCTTTCCCCTTCTCATGTGATGGGAGGGGGAGGAAGAGAGAGAGCGCAAGAGCAGGAAAAAGTGTTCACCTATTTAATTTGATTAGAGATTAGACGAGGAAAAGAGTCACATTTCCTTCCTGGCACGTCTCTACTTGGCGCACTGTGAACCTGATTTTATAAAGAGATGTCACAGCCAAGCGCCACAGTAATGCCTGTAATTACTCTGAACTCAAATAAATAAATAAATTTGCTTTTCTTTGTGAAAGTCTGACAGGTTTTCCAACATCCCTGACTGGAAAAATGTGTGTGCATAGGCGTGTGGCTGTGTATTTGTGTGTGTGTCTTTGTGTGGGTGTGTGCTTATGTTTACATATACTGAGGCACTTGTAAAGAAAAAATTCAGACAGGATGAAATTTTGACAGCTACAGTATAGCTTGTTTTCCCCTCTCTTCTTTTTTGACTGTGATAATCTCCGCTCAGCCGCACGCGCTGAAGGCAAACCTCCGTTTGAGAATGATAAGGTTCGAGGTGCAGCTTTGTAAATAATAAGGTTAGAGTTTTTACACAGTTGCTAGTGCCGCGGCTGATCTCGCTCCTATTAGTGACAATTGGCTGTGACCTCACCTGCTCACCCATGCTGTCATCACTGAGGGTGCATCTACAGCAGCAGCAGCAGGCGATTAGATCATCCACTCTGGTCATAGAAGGAGACATCCAGACAAATGTTGCTCTGCTGAACCAAAGGAGGTCTGATGCATGTTGTCATGAATGCTGGCTCCTTGACTTTTGATATTGTTCAACTGCAAAAACACTTCCATATTTCCTGTTTGGGTGGGGGGGGACTCACAAAGCTCACAAAGCGAGTTAGGCTGCATGATATGGTAAAAATATCATATTGCTATTGTTTTGACAGATATTGCAATTGCAATATGATATCAAATTATTGTGGGAATTATAAATTTTTTCATCACAAATTTGAAAAAAACTAATAACAAAAAATCATCAAAAATCATCATTTATGGTGTTCTGTACCAAACAAACAAAGGATTTGTAGCCAGGGCATCTCTGCAGCACTATACAGTACTTCATTATAACGCTGTTTTGTCACACATTTTACCTATTAAAACTGCTAGATCTAGATCTAGATCTGCATATTGATTCTGTAAATTTGCATATTGCACTTGGCCATATTTCAATTTCAATAATGTTTTGATTAATCGTGCAGCCCTAAATACAAGCACACCTATTTGGCATGTACTGCCTTTGTGATGCTTGTCATCATAGCCATACTCACAAACATTTCTAACAAAGTGCTGCGTATTGAGAGCTGTCTCCAATATTTAGCCTGCCTCAATTTCCATACATGACTAAAACACCTTTCAATATTATGAGTCAATACAACACCATCACAAACTAAGGCCTCACAAATGACTACAGAGTTGAATCAACACCTCTCTGACACCGAACAATAGTTCCCAACCTGCTCTTTTTACACCACCCATCATGTTCCAAATGTGTTGGGCGTTATTTACCCCTGATAATTATATAAACTTTTATTTGATTACAATACATTTAATTTCATACAATTGAGCATACAACATTTAAGTTGGTCTGATTAATTTTATATTCATAGAGTGCTGGAAGATGTTCCAACTATTATCCATTACTTTTAACTTTAAATTTGAACAGTTTAATTTTAACTCTTGCACCTAACTATTTCAACTAAAACAATTACCTCAGCCAACTGTTTTAACCAATATCTTTTTCTTTAACATTAGCTAATAGGTTCAAGCATAAATACATTACTTTTGCCTAACTATTTCAACTGTATATCCACAGCTTCTAGCATTTACACCGTTTATCCACGACTCTTTTCCTATCTATTTTTTTTAGAATCACTTTATTGGCCAGGTATGTGCGAACATACAAGGAATTTGACTCCAGATTCCATTACAAACCTAACTATATCAACAGTTCATTCATTACTTTTAGCAAATTATTTCAACTGTTTGTTCAGTTCACAGTTTCAAATTCTCTGTTCACTTGCTAACTAATGTTAATATTACACTGCCCATTGCAACTGTAGGTTCAGGTGTTACAGCTAACTCAATATGTGTATTTTTCTTTTTTTCTTTTCTTTTTTGGATCAATTGTAATTTAAATTTTTTCTAATTAATTGATCCACAATCCTTATATATACCCCCCTGGCAAGTACCCCCTGGGGTACAAGTACCCGTGGCTGGGAATTGAATTAGACGTTATTGATTGGATTATAGACCAGAATGGAAAGTTGGATATTAAAAGAATCAGTGCTATTATGGCTCTGGATTGAGAGCAGATAATTACAGTAGCCCAATGCTTTAAATAGAATCACAATCCTTCCACCGGGACAAAATATCTGCTTTCTCCCTCACCTTCCCATCACTGCTTTTTCTTCTCTGAGTGACAGTCATGCTGATATTCAAGGCCTTCCAAACCTCTCTCCCGCCATCACCTTGTTTCTCTGGTCAATGAGTGTCAATCAGAAGCTCTTCGCACAGTTTGGCAACAAATATCTTCACGCTCACAATGCCTCTATATCCCATGAGTCTCTTTGTATGCCACAGCGATGTCAAGCAGTCATACCTCTCCGGCAAAGCAGATGTTCAGGATGCTCTTTACCGTCATGATCAGGGACTCACAAACTGAAAACTAGCCGTTTTTCCCTGACGAAGCCCTACCATATAAATTATAAATGGTGAAACAATCTTTAAACATGTTCATTAAAGACAACACTTTCTTTAAAAAAAAAATCAGCTTATAAATATTTATTTCAAGCAAATCTCAACACAACTTCCCCGCCCCTCCCCTTTCTGCTCCATCCATGTATTCTCTTTTCCCAGTCAACTGGTACGTGTGAGGGGAAAGAGAGAGACAGTGCCTCAGCAACCTTGACTGGAGACAAGCAGGAGACACATGCATGACTGGATCGACTTCGCCTGTGATGGCTGTTAGCTAGCTTTCCTCCAGAAAGCCGAGCCGCCTGCCTGCCTGCTGATGTGCTATTACTCGCTCTGGAGGAGATGCTTGTGTGGAGGATGACACATTATTATCCTTTAATCTCGGTCTCAGCTTGTTGAGCATCAAATTGAAATATCCTGAACAGATGTAAAAACACATGTGAGCCTGGGCGCGCAAGCTGTGCTGCGCTTTGTTTCATCTATCCGTGATGTGAGCCTTAAGGAGAAGCTTTTTAAAATTTCATCACTATTCAAAAGGATAATTAATACGTACCCCCAGGCTTTGATTATGCGATACCCAGTGTGTAGTGCTGGTGTTGCCATAATGAGCCACTCATCAGTGCTCTGCCTGTGCCTCCCCAACAAACATACAGTTTGCATAAGGTACTTAAGATTCTGCTGAGGTACCACCATGTTTGTGTGTGTGTGTGTGTGTGTGTGTGTGTGTGTGTGTGTATGTGCACCTGCGTATATTTATA